AGCTTCCAATGGTGATCCACACAGAAAACAAGAATGACGGCTAGGGTTTCTTAAGAATAATGAAAATTCTCTATAGTTTACAAACTCTAGCAGCCTATCAATATAAGTCCAAGTGAGCTGGCCCATCTTTAAACTTTACCCGATCCGATATTTAATTAATCAACTTAATTAAATCCGGTTCATGAATTAATTAATCCAATTAATTAATTCGGGCCTATTAATAAACAACTCAATTAATTAATATCCAACACTTGTCAATGAATTAATTGGTAAATCTCATTCTTCTGGTTCTCTTTTGTGTGTGACCCATTAGGTTCCCAATCACGATACCTAATGGCGTGAAATATTATTTTGATCTAATCAAAATTGATAAATTAAAACTCCCCTTTTAATTTATGACTTATTCACATTCGTCGTCTCGAATTGATATCTAGCAATGTGTCGGGCAATACAGGTGACGTGAAATGTCACGTCGTGTGACAAAACCAAACTTGTTCGTTTACCGTGAAATTATAATCTTTTCGTCAATATGATCCGATCAATGATGAGATATTGATATGTGTCAATCTCAATTATTGATCATATCTTTTATCCCACTGTTAAGTTAATATAAGTTGAAAACTCTTTTTCGACTTATGAGTTCACATTGGCCAAAGATTTCATTATCAACTTAACTAGATAGAATGTAGACCATAATTTCTTACTATCTAAGAGTGACGAATCATCTATTGATCATTCACAACCTTCATATGATTCTTGACATACCCGAACGATGCTGTATTAGCGACCCTTGGCAGAGTAACATTCAACACCATCAAAGTATGATTGTCCTCATATAAGGTACTATGATAACCTCAAGTTAAAAAACCAATTCCATTACCGAACGTTGGAAATTAACCACTAACACTCAGATAATTATCCATGTGGAATCTTACAACGGGTTTCCAATGTTTTGTTGCATAACAAAACATCCACATGTTCATTCAAGTGTCCTACACTTTGACTTGTGAGATCAGTTACTTACTTCACAAGTAAGAATCGGTGTGCGCTACTAGATAGGCATAGTATTTATTATTTCGACCATGGACGATTTAAGATTCAATCATATGTAATTTGTATCTCACAATCACAACTCCCTGTGATTAACAAATCACAAAGACTTGAATCTACAAATTCTATTATTTAATTTATTAGAATATTAATTCAATTAAATAATAGATATTGCCATACATATGCATTAATTATATATATTTAAAGTGTTTATGCCCAAAGTTGATTGGACTTAGGGTAT